ATATATATATATATATATATATATATATATATATATATATATATACACACAGTGAGGAAAATAAGTATTTGAACAACCTGCAACTTTGCAAGTTCTCCCACTTATAAATCATGAAGGGGTCTGCAATTTTCATCTTAGCTGCATGTCCACAATGAGAGAGATAATCTTTAAAAAAATCTGGAAATCAATATGTATGATTTTTTTAAATAATTTGTGTGATACTGCTGAAAATAAGTATTTGAACACCTGTGACAATCAATGTTAATATTTGGTACAGTAGCCTTTGTTTGCAGTTACAGAGGTCAAAGGTTTCCTGTAGATTTTCACCAGGTGTGCACACACTGCAGCAGAGATTTTGGACCATTCCTCCACACAAATCTTCTCTAGATCAGACAGGTTTCTGGGCTGTTGCTGAGAAACATGGAGTTTGAGCTCCCTCCAAAGATTTTCGATAGGGTTTAGGTCTGGAGACTGGCTAGGTCACTCCAGAACCTTGATATGTTTCTTATGGAGCTACTCCTTGGTTCTCCTGGCTGTGTGCTTCGGGTCATTGTCATGTTGGAAGACCCAGCCACGACACATCTTCAATGCTCTAACTGAGGGAAGGAGGTTGTTCCCCAAAATCTCACAATGCATGGCCCCGGTCATCCTCTCCTATGTTAGGGTCCGTAGTGACCCATTTTAAATTTTAAATCATGATACTGTCTTTTAAATATTTTTTTTTGCATCAAGGCTTTTTGACTTTGTCTGGAACCTTTATTTAAATAAAAAAAATTGTTTGTTTTTTTCACTAAATTTAATTTTTATTTTTTATAGAACAACACGCACTTGCCGCGCTGGGGTCATTTGTGACCCAGTTATGGTATAAGACTATCAACCAATAATCAGTGTCAAAACTGAAATCATAAACACACTGTGACCTCACTAACTTTGTCATACATATGTTAGGGCCTTCTGTTTTTACCTGTTTGGCTACTTCACTGACCAAAACATCCCCATTTATCCGTACTACTTTTATTGATAAGTCCCTCATACTCTGCTCCCAAAAACTGAAAAAGTTCATCCAGCTGTAAATGCAGAGACATGTTGAGGCATGCCCATGTAGAGATAAGCCTACCTGGATAGCCATGCCCATCTTGATATGCAGACCTAGACAGACACACCCACCTGGGTGTGTCTCTACATGGGCATGTAGAGACATGTAGAAACAGACACTCCATTTTACCTAGAGCTTGGCTGCATACCAAAATGAAGAGAAGATTCACAGTACAAGAAGCTCTAGATCACATCCTTGCTGAAAATGATGCAGAGGACACACCTAGTGACACAGATGAGCCAGTTTCTGAGGAGGACAATGCTATTGAATATGAATCAGAGTACACAGACTCGTCGAATGAGGAGGGCACAGGTGCTGAAGCTGCTCCTGTAACTGAAACCTATAAATCCAAAAAGGGTAACATCACTTGGAGTGCGATTCCTCCTGTTTCACATGGCAGGGAAGCTGCTGAAAATGTTATGAAGATGACCCCTGGGATTACAAGGTTTGCTGTGACACGAGTAAGTGACATCAAGACATGCCTTGATTTGTTTATGCCATTGTCACTAAAGAAAGTCATCATTGCTATGACAAACCTCGAAGGGAAAAAAGTTCACGGTGACACTTGGAAGGACATTGATGAGGAGTGCCTGGATGCTTTTATTGGTGTTCTTCTTCTCGCTGGCGTGTACAGATCCAGCAATGAGGCCTTTACTAGTCTCTGGGATGTGTCCACAGGCAGGAGTATTTTCCGCGCAACAATGTCACTTCAGACCTTTCAAATGATCTCAAGAGTCCTCAGATTTGACAACAGAGATACTAGAGCACGGTCTGACAAGCTTGCTCCCATCAAAGACGTCTGGGATAGATGGGTGAAGCTCCTTCCACTGATGTTCAACCCAGGACCAGAGGTGACAGTGGATGAGCGTCTTCTCCCTTTCCGTGGAAAATGCCCCTTCCGGCAATACATGCCCAGTAAGCCAGGCAAATATGGCATAAAAATCTGGGCAGCCTGTGATGCGAAAACCAGCTATGCCTGGAATCTACAGATTTACACAGGCAAACTTGCAGCTGGCATCCCTGAGAAGAATCAAGGAAAACGGGTAATCCTTGATATGACTACTGGACTGCGGGGTCACAATATCACGTGTGACAATTTCTTCACCAGCTATGATCTTGGAGAAGAACTTCTCAAGAGGAAACTTACCATGGTGGGCACAATAAGAAAAAACAAACCTGAGCTGCCCCTTGAAATTTTGTAGGTGAAAGACAGGGCTCCACTGTCTTCAAAATTTGCTTTTACAGAAACCACCAGTGTTGTTTCATACTGTCCCAAAAAGAACCGGAGCGTGGTACTTATATCCACTCTTCACAAAGATGCAGCTGTGTCAACAAGAAGTGACAAAAAGCCTGAAATCATCCTGGACTACAATAAAAACAAAGGAGGAGTGGACACCCTGGACAAGCTGACTGCCACCTACACTTGCCAGCGAATGACCAGGAGATGGCCAATGGTTGTATTTTACAACATCCTAGATGTGTCTGCATACAATGCATTTGTCTTGTGGACCCAGATTGACTTGGGGTGGAACGCCAAAAAAACCCACAAGCGGAGATTGTTCCTTCAGGAGCTAGGAAATTTGTTGATCAAGCCATACATTGAGAGAAGGGAACGGATACCCCGAGACCCAGCCACTGCGAACCTTGTGAGACAGCTCCGGAGCACCACTCCAACTACATCATCAGCTGCACAAAGTGCATCAGTGACAACACGCCCTTCAGGCAGCCGGGCTTCAACATCGACCACACCCACAACTCTATTATTACTTGTTCTGCTTTTTATTTTATATTGGTATTAAAGTTCAATGTTTGAAAAGAAATGTTTCTTCCTTTTTTTTGACGTAAATATACATGGGTCAAAACTTACCCTTAACACTATAAATGTTACTATGGTTAATAATATTAAAATAACAAAATAATAAGACAAATTTATTTTAGAGATGTGTTCTAATACTTCTTAAAAAAACACTGTTTTGAGGGTATTTTGTGGCTGATTTAAGACGGGTCACAACTGACCCGTTCACATCATAAGTGCGTGCAGGATCTCGCCACGCTAGGAAGGTTAATACAGTGCAGTCGTCCTGTCCCATGTGCAGAACCCACCCCCCCCCCCCCCCCCCCCAAAAAAAAAAAAATGAAGGACCCCACCCACCCAGCACACACACTTTTTGCCCCACTCCCCTCAGGAGGGAGGTTGAGGAGCATTGGGTGTGGAACCACTAGACTGAGGAACAGCTTCTACCCTGAGGCTGTTAGACTCATGAATCTCTAGCTAGAATGGTCGCTGTGAAAAACCATATCATGTTGCTGCTGGTCTGTTTCATGTTGCTGCTGATCTGTTTCAATGTTGATGTGTTCATGCGTGCACATCTGCTCACAGACTCATGTTCATGTTTGTGCTGATGTTCAATGTTTTATGTTATGAGTGCTTGGTGTATATTTAGTTTATGTTTTTCTTGGTTCGTGTCTTGGATGTTGTTACTGTTTTTCTTATACATTTTATTGTTGGATGTAACTGGGACCCTGTGTACATAATTTCGCTCCACCACATGTACCACATGAGGTGCGAATGACAATAAAGAAACTCTGACTCTGACTCTGAAAAGCATGATGCTTCCACCCCCATGCTTCACAGTAGGGATGGTGTTTTGGGATGGTACTCATCATTCTTCGTCCTCCAAACACAGCGAGTAGAATTAAGACCAAAAAGTTCTATTTTGGTCTCATCTGATCACAGAACTTTCTCCCATGACTCCTCTGGATCATCCAAATGGTCATGGACAAACTTAAGACGGGTCTGGACGTGTTCTGATTTAAGCAGGGGAACCTTCTGTGCTATGCATGATTTTAAACTATGATGTCTTAGTGTATTACCCACAGTAACCTTGGAACCAGTGGTGCCAGCTCTCTTCAGGTCATTGACCAGCTCCTCCCGTGTAGCTCTGGGCTGATTCCTCACTTAGGATCACTGATGCACTACGAGGTGAGATCTTGCATGAAGCCCCAGTCCGAGGGAGATTCACAGTCATGTTTAGCTTCTTCCATTTTTTAATAATTGCTCTAACAGTTGATCTTTTTTCACCAAGCTGCTTGGCAGTTGCCCCGTAGCCCTTTCCAGCCTTGTGGAGGTCTACAATTTTGTCTCTGGTGTCTTTGGACAGCTCTTTGGTCTTAGCCATGTTAGTAGTTGGAGTGTTACTGATGGTGTGGGGTGGACAGGTGTCTTTATGCAGCTAACGACCTCAAACAAATGCTTCTAATTTAGAATAAGAGGAGTGGAGGTGGACTTTTTAGAGGCGGACTAACAAGTATTTGAGGGCCAGAATTGTTGCTGATTGGCAGGTGTTCAAATACTTATTTGCAGCAATAACACAAATAAATTATTTAAAAATCTTACATTGTGATTTCCAGATTTTTTTTAGATTATGTCTCTCACAGTGGACATGCACCTAAGATGAAAATTCCAGACCCCTACATAATTCGGTGAAATTTCTATATGCAGAAGTTGCCCAATGTGAACTGAAAACATGATGAAATACTAAAACCAAAACATGTGTCTTTTATTGCAACATGACAAGCCTCAGTATTAAAAACTGGGCAGTTAAATGTCAGAGTTTTACAGCTATGGAAAAAACTACCGATATACAAAAAGCCTACTTTTAATTAAAAAAATACACAACAATGAAAATATATAAAGTCTGACTACAAATCATTTAATAAACATACTTCACAGCGTTGGTATAATTCAATTTCAACTTATTTAAAAAACCTGTGTGGACTTAATGTAATTTAAAGAGGATACTAATGTCTTTAAAGAAATATCAATAAACAAGATAAACTTTACCACTAAAGATTTTTATTACTACCTTTAGCACGAGAGAAACAGACTACTTTCTGAAACAACTTTTCTCTATAGCAGAGGTGGATCTAGAACTTTTATGAGTCAGGAAATGTGTGGGAGTCGCATTAAAAAAGAAAAGAATAAGATCCATTTACATTTCTAGATAAAAAAAAAATTTTAAACAACAAAATTTTGTGGACCGCTTAACGGTGAACTCTGTGGGTGAGTTATACTTGTCACCAGTTGATAACTTCTGGCTTCCCATTATCATCCAACAGCATAAAAGGTGGGCAAATGTGTAATTAACTGTTTATCCGTTTGTCTGTCAGTTCAAAATTATCATATGAGCCATTTGGGTGATTTTATTAAAACTTCAGTGTAATCATTGGATTTACATCTGATTAAGATGGCTGCCACAGTTAATCAACCATATCAAACACAACAACGGCTAAATCCAATTTTACAGATTCTGAGCAAAAAAATTGGTGTGGTAGTATCAGAGAGTCATCCACAACACATACTAACAGCACAAACAGACTGCATGAGATCTCTGCTCAACACCCTGGTATCATGTGTAGATGTCAACTTTGTGTTGTTATCAAAATACATCATGTACCACTGAATGGGTTTTATTGAAACTTAGACCATATTGATTGGATGTACGTCTACAACCTACGTTGCCAACCTTTGGAGCAAAACTGATTGAAGATGGCCACCACTGATAGATGACCTTAGCAAACACAAAAATGCCAACAACTCAGTCAATGTGGTTAATACTGAACTAAAATATGGCATGGCTAATAGCTGAGAGTAGTTTCCACAACGTACTCCAAGCACTAACAGATCAAACAAGATCTATGTTTAAAGCGTTAGCTTGTAGGTTAATGAATGACATGCTGTTATCATTTACAAATATATTCCTATTTGTTTTCTTAATTGGACTTGTGACCTGTCCAGGGTGTACCCCGCCCCTCGCACATTGATTGCTGGACATGGGCACCGGCGACCCCCGTGACCCAAAATGGAAGAAGCAGGTAAAAGATAATGGATGGATGAATGTTTTCTTAATTGTCTTATTTCTCACAATATATAAATACAGAACAGTGCAGCTGTAAGAAATGTTTAAAGTTCAAAGACGTCAGAGGCCAGTCAGGTGCAGCAGGGACCGGTGGTCTTCTGATCCTCCTCTGGGTCCAATCATGCTCCAAAGTTAAGAAATCCACATGCAAAACTGACATCTCTACGGTTCAGCCTTGTCATCCCTCAGAATAATTTTCCTGAAGGTATTTCTCAGTTCAAGGAGGAATCCACTTGTTTTTTCAAACAAATGAAGCAAAAATGTTCAGTAATTCTGAACGTTTTAAAGAGTTCCCAACAAAAGCCAAAGATGAACGCTTAAACATCGAGTAATCATGCAGTGGCCCTCTCAGGTTTGTCATAAGGAATTCCCCACCCACTACCATGAAGAAAGGTGTTTTGACTCAGCAAAAGTGCTTGCGTGGGTTTTCTCCGGGTACTCCGGTTTCCTCCCACAGATCAAAAACATGCATGTTAGGTTGTCTTCAGGCCCAGGCTTCCCTTGCAAAAGAGATCTGTGATCTCAGTGGGATTTGCCTGGTTAAATAAAGGTTAATAAATAAAAGAAACCAAATAAATAGGTTAAATTTTACTTAGTGGATGTACTAAAGCAATTATGATTCAGTTTTTACCTCTACGCAGCAATTCCCATCCAGTACTATGTTCCCTTGGCAGTCCTTACGGTCCTCTCCTGTGTAGTAGGACAAGTTGCTGGGCCTCAAAGTGAACCAGCGTTCCTTCCAGTTTCTCCTCAACTGTCCTTTTTTCCACAGATACCCCTGCATGCACCCAAACCAATAAACACATGCTGTCACTGCCTCAAAATGGAGCATTCTGCAACAAACTAGACAAACTGTATCTGCTGCTTGATCGGTCTCTTACCTCTTTGAGAACATCGCCAACTATCTCTCGGTAAACCTCCTCTATAGCCATGCTGATAATGCTCTTATCAATTCCCCGGGTAACCTTCCCAGAGTTCACCATCTCCAGAAAGACCCAGACGGAGATGCCGCTCTGCTGCGCTGAATCCTGGGAGAAGAAGTCCTCAAACTCAACACAGTTAAACTCAACACTCATCGCCATGCATATCTTCTTGAGGAGGTATTCCACCTGCAGAGGACAAGAGGGAGATTAGTTGATCTATTTATACTGCCCGTGTTTGCTGCATGATGCACAAGACAAGAAAGCAACTAAAACCTTTTAATTAGAATAATTTATTAATCCTGTAAAATTTACTTTTTATGAAGGATGCTTTTATGTAAGGCTGCAGCATTTTTACTGCTGAGCTTAATAAAATTATAAAACAAAGTGTTTATTATGCCATTTATCCCAATTTCCCATTATTCTTTAGGGGCTGAGATGGGGTAGAGGCAGGGCAGCTGACTCAGGACCTGATAGTCCCGGGTTCAATCCCCAGCCATTCCCACATGTCCTGGTGTCTCTTAGCAAGACACCCAATCCCCAATTGCTAAAACCCACATAGCTGCCCACTGCTCCACCTGGGTGTATCCCAGGTGCGATGGGTTAAATGCAGAGAACTAATTTTGCCATTGTATGGGAGCATACAACGATGACAACACATAGTGCTTGTCTATTTAAAGATAAAAATAATAAAATCACACCCAACATCATAAACAGCACTTCACATGCGTTGTCTCACTAAATCTCACCATCGACCAACACCGTAACCCTCATTCGAACATCAAATGTCTTGTGAAGTGGTTGGTGTGAAAAAACATATCAAAATAAATCTGGATGACATTTTCTTAAATTATGAGTGTAGACAAAAATACACTGTTCTTGACAGGCTTTCTTTTGGTAGCGGCTGAAAAAAAAAAGCCCAACAGGAAACCAAAACAACTGCTGTAAGTGAGAATCAAGCCCACACGGCTGTACGAAATGAGCGCCGTGTTTCATGGTGGAAAGAAGCTGAACTTTTAGCTGCTGAACTCAGTGGCTGCTCAAGATCCAACTCTATTTTTAGGCCACAGATTACAGACTAGAATCATAGAATTATAGGCAACACTGAAGGAAAATATCAAGAAATATGTAACTAAAATTGGAGAGAAGAGGCAAAATCTAAATCAACTAGAAAAGTTTACATTTTTAAAAAGAATGCAGTGCGAACATGGAGGGTTGAAGGACTGATAAAAATTGTTGATGAAGAAGCAGAACAGAAGCTAAAACAAACAGAATGGTCAAATTTACAATGAAATGAACTGTAGCTAAAAGCTACAATACATAGAAATGTAGCTAAAAGCTAAACTAACAGTGGCTAAAGGCTAAAACCAGCAAAACCATAGCTAAAAGTTTAAATATACAAAACTGTAGTTAAAAACTAAAACAGCTAGAAGGCAACAATTCTGGGAGGTGAGCCGGTCCCAAGAACCATGGAAAAGACCTCAAACACGGGTCAAGCCGGAAATATCCGACCCGCGCTGTGACAGTGGAAAAGAGGCATAAGCGCTAAACCCAACCAAAATGATTAAAACAGTAGCTAAAAGTTAAAACCAGCAAAACATAAGCCAAAACAAAAATTAGAAAACTGGAGCCAAAAACTGAAATGAGCAAATTTGTCATTAAATGCTAATATTAGCAATACACTTGCTAAAGTATGACTAGACTACCAGTACTAATTACACGTGAATAGACTACTGACTAGCTAAAGTCAACAATAAACCAAACCAAAGCTAAATATTAAAGTCAGTAAAATAGTAGCTTAAAGCTTAGCTTCAATTTTAAAGCTCCATTTCAATTAGGAAAAAAGTAAAAAAAATAAAATAAAAATCAACTAATATTTTAAAAAGTATTAAAATTACAAATACCATAAGTCATAGCACACATCTCCTCAACGAGCTGAAGGCTATGATACCCGAATGGTTAAAATAGCTGAACACATGCAAGTACCAGTATTAGTAAAAAAAAAAAAAACTTTGAACAGGACAACAGTAGAGTGAATGCTGAGTCAGCAGTCACAGAACTGAATGGTATTTACATATTCACTGGTTGAACCCACCTCGTCAGGAACCATAACCAAAGGGTACTTGTCTTCAGAGAGAAAATTAAAAAGGCACCAAAGTCGAAAAGCGTCCCGCTCTGGTACAACCGAGTTGCTGCTTTTATCTGGCTGGTAGTTCTTCTTTGCCGTGAGAGTCCAACAGAGCTCGTCTACATTTTCTTTTTTAAAAGAACCCTCCACAACCTAAAGCAACACAAACGCAGGGATTAAATGTAACCGCATGAGTCATTTATGAAGCGTAAAGTTGTGCTGGACCTCACCTTATCCAGGATGTATTTGTTGAGGTAAGGCATATAACCCTGACTGGAAACTGGGCCATCATCATCATCCCTGAAGTGCTCCTCTAAAGCCACCGGATCATGTGGGATACTCAGGACTGTGCAAAGGTTGTGAGACAAAACCTGAAAAATTACAATGAAGACAGATTTTTATTTTAAAGTGAAGTAGAAAGGCAACATTACTAAAACAAAAATGGAAACTTGAGCGCTTTAGGGAACTGAAGTGTTGATTTTCAGCAGTTTCTATGTGCGCACATTACTGTGACAAAAAGGAATGAAAAAAAGTTGTGTGGCCAAAGTCAGAAGAAAACTGAAGATTTTCAAGAAAATAACGGTTAAACATTCTAGGTTAGGCAAAAAGAAAAAGTAATAAAGTCTTACTGATGTAGAGTAGAAACATGGATACATTTACACTCTTTCTAGTCGTCAGCCACATTTAAAAAAGACCCAGTGCTGATCGGAGAGTTAATTCAATTCAATTCAGTTTATTTATATAGCGGCAATTCACAACAAAGTTGTCTCAGGGCACTTTACAGGAACATTCACATACATAGAAAAGCCAATTAGTAAAGTTCTCTATCTAAGGAAGCCAGCAGACTCATTGAATCTTCACTTCGTCAAAGTCTCCCATCCTGAGCAAGCACAAAGGCCACAGTGGAAAGGAAAAACTCCCTTTTAACAGGAAGAAACCTCCAGCAGAACCAGGCTCAGGACAAGCAGCCATCTGCTTCGACCGGCTGGGTTTGAGAGGACAGGAAGGAGAGACAGACGAACACAGAATGGCATGTCCAGGTGCAGGTGTACCTCCTATTGGAAGAAAGACAAAAACACATGTCAAGGACAGAAAAAAACACAAATTCAAAACAGGCTGAGCAGAGTAAGTAGACAGTAGCATAGTGCAGAAATGTGGTCAGTTTGTCCTCCAGCAGTCTAAGCCTATAGCAGCAACTCAGGAAGCCCAAGCCAACCCTAACTATAGGATTTATCAAAAAGGAAAGTCTTAAACCCAGTATTAAAACTGGACAATGTGTCAGCCTTTCAGACAGAAACTGGAAGTTAGTTCCACAAGAGAGGAGCCTGATAACTGAAAGATCTTCCTCCTATTCTACTTTTGGAAACTCTAGGAATCACAAGTAATCCTGCAGTCTGAGAGTGAAGTGCTCCGTTAGGAAAATATGGAACAATAAGATCTGTAATATAAGATGGAGCTAGGTTGTTGAGAACTTTGTAGGTTAGAAGTAATATTTTGAATTCTATTCTGAATTGGGAGCCAATGGAGAGAAGCTAAAACTGGAGAGAGATCTCTCCTATCAACTCTCATTAAAGTTACATTTGACATATTTTGCTAATTATTCTAACAATGTCACAACAAAGCTGGTGTTGATCCAAAGTCTTTATTTTGACCATCACAACTGTGAACTGTTGGTGCCACAAGATCTGAGGCTATCAATTTTGATTTCTTTAAGGGATTTTAAACATTCAATAGAAATATCAAAGCAGCAAATATGTTCTTGTTATTGTATTTTACCTTGTTTTATATCTTGATTTGACTATGTTTATAACTTCTTTTATTTGATTTTAATTGCTTTTTGAATTATTGTGGTCTTTATGTGTTGTGTCTAAAACAGGTCTCACTTGTAAACAAGTCCTCGTGACTCAATGAGACGAACCTGTATAAATAAAGGTTGAAAGAAAAAATGAACTTTTTTTGCATCTCATGTAAGAAAATGTCAAGAAACTTCTGATCTTATAACAAGACAAGCAAAAGAAAAAAAAAATCTCAATTTGTATGCATCCTTTACAGTATGATTGTCTTTGTTGTCCACTGTTGTCATCACTCTTTGTTAAAATCAGGTCTCTCTTGTAAACGAGTCCCCGAGACTCAGTGGGATTAACCTGTATAAATAAAGGTTGAATGAAAAAAAAAAGGTTTGAAAGAGCTCAGTCAACATTTCTGTTACAGCAAAATCCCTAAACAAGGTTTAGATTAGCACAAATAGAATTAAGAAATGATGTGCTTTTAAATGTTTACAGATTTTGTACATTTAAAATAAGAGGAAAATTTCATAAATACGTAGCTGGTCCAGTTCACATGAATATAAATATCCCCTCTGGTGGTTTTTCAGTACTGGTTTAGGATCTTTTTACCCATTCTTTCTGCAAAAGGCTTTCAGTTCTGTGAGATTCTAGAGGTCTTTGACTATATCCAGATTATTTCCCCTTTTATGTAACAATGCAGAGATTAACGGGACACATCAGAAATGTATGTTAATGCAATAAATGCATTGTTACTTAGTTTGGAATTTGTTTTCCTTTTTATTTTTATTTTAACAAAAACTTTATGAAATTCTAGCCTCATTTCATTTAAAATTAAACAATTTGTCTGGATTATATTAACAGGACCCAAGGATGCAGAGCGAGGAAAATAATATTCTTAATGAACAAATCAAAATGGCAGATGTGGCACCAAAACAACAAAAAATAAACTCAAGAAGCAAAATCACAAGGACCACTAAAAGAACCGGCGGAGGGAACAAATGAAATGACAGACTGATGAGAAAGAGCAAACCAAAAAGTAGAGCAGGGGTGATGAGATAAGTGGAGGCAGCTGAGTCTAATGAATATAGGAAACAGGTGTGAATGGTTAACAGAGGGGCAGGACTGACTGAGAAATGAACGCGTAAATGATCATATCAGAACACAGGAAAACAAACTACAAACACAAGAAGTCAAAAAATTAAGGATGTCTAAAAATAAAAATAAAAGGAACTCAGGATCTTGACAGGTCATAGGCTGGATTTCATGGTGAACGAGCTCAGAAAGCTTAATTTAGTTGTTTAAACTGTTACATTGTATTTTTTTATGCTTTACAGTACACTGTTCATGCTTAAAAGTGTGAGAAAATAACTTATTGTGCGGCTGTATATAAATAAAATACAGTTTCTGTTGTGGAAGAAGTGCACAACGTCGTGTGTAATGCGATGTAAGAAACAGGTCCAGATGACTGTTGTGACTTGGCACTATATAAATAAACTGAATTAAATTGAATTAAACAGATGGCACTATTTAACCTTTTTTGTTGTTATCTACGTGGATGATTGAGCTTACAAACCTTTTTTTTCTGAACCATTTTGGCCTTGATGTCCTCAGCCTGTTGATGTGAGTAGCAAGTTGGCCATGTGGCCTAAAACATTTGATGGTTGTACACGATGACTGATTGTTTTGGACGGGTGGGCTCTGTTTGCAAGTGTTAAAAGTCTACTTCTGAGATCCCACAGGAGGTTGGCTTGAAACACAGCAATGTAAGCTACCTATGGGACAGATCTGGTTGGCAGGCTGTAGACTGATGACGGAGAAGAAACGTTTCTCACTTAAAGAAACTGGTCCAGATGACATTAATCTGTTTTGTTGTTGTGCGCATGCTTAATAACTTCCCTCAAAAGGTGCAGTTTTGGTGTTTGTGTTCTAGTCGGCAGTATTTCATGTGGTGAATAGAACGAGGCACAGGAAATTAAGTCAGTACTCATGTCATGTCTCTGGTTCTGTGCTTCCCTTCTATTTATTATTTTTGCAAAAACCTTGCAATGTAAAGTGGAGAGAAGGATTTTATAGCTTGCTCTACATGTAGACAAGTTACTGCTGATGAGAAGTGGACTTGTAAAAATTCAAACGTTCAGTAATTTATTACAATTAAAGAGGTAAATAAAGGATGTGTGCTTTGAGTAGCATTATCACTTTTCCACCGTCTTGTCAGAACCATCTTGAGCTGCCTGCTGCTGTCAGACACCTAGTTTGTGCGTGCTGAGCCATAACCACATCCTGCCTCCAATCTACAGTGCTCTAAAACATCTACCACTTTGTGAGGCCACAGCACACAAACAACCTGCCTGTGAGCATCTCAAACAAAATGTGGTGCCTGAACACAGCCTGCACGCTCATGGGGAGTGAGGGGGGGATAAGCCCAGTCATGAGGCTGAATATTTGTAAGCCAGGAGTGGAGGTGGCTGGAAATGGAGTCTGAGCTACAATAAATGACACAACAGTGAGATCAACAAAAAAGGACAGTGGCTGTATTGAGGCTCTGGGTGCAAGACACAACTATCACCAGCATGTTTCCACTTTGTCCTTGCTCTCAATGTAACAATGTTCATTTGACGTACATGCTGGGAGAGTACTCTATTCAACAGGCTGCTCTCCAGTGCCAGAGGTTTCTTTGCACAACAAGATGGCACATTCGGGCCCAGTGTGAGCAACAGCTCAGAGATGAGGGGTCCCATTCATGCACAAAACTGAGAACAAACTGTTACTCTCGTGCTCTGGCAGGGCAGAGGTGCATATTGTGCTTTCTTTCAGCCGTGTAAGCGTTTTACTCAAACTATGGGGAACAAAATTGTTCCTCGTGGCATTCGCAGATTTAAAAAAAAAAAAAAAAGCATTGCTTGACACAGGAAATGTAGATGATGAGAAGAAGACAGAGTACACACTTATTTCCTGGAGCACACACTCAAATACACAGCGATTAAACAAAAAAGTATTTGGTTGGATTTATTTAGTGCGTTAAGCACCTGAAAGCACTTTTTATCTTCTAAAACGAGGTCAAGTAGGAAATGAGGCAGCACAAGTAAAAGTGTCCATCCTGACATCAGAAGAAAATGTTTCTTCTTGTTACATTGTCCAAGCAGAGGTCCCATCACTTACCTTCAGCTGGGATTTAGACACTTTCCCACTTTTCTCCAGATCCAGGGCTGTAAAACCATACCAGATGGACTTGAGCAGCTCAGACCGCAGGTCCATGTCTGCAGCAGCTTATTTTCTGATTTCCTCTTCTACGTGTCTTCTTCTTCCCTCTGCTGTTGACACGGGTCCCCTGAGTGACAGGCGGACTGGTGTTGTGTTGCAGCTGCAGGGCAAGACTTCAGCTGCTTGTTGGCAGTGACACCTCCTGGACATCATCAGCCACCAGCAGACGAAGGCTCTGGTCCCATAGTCCTGTCTTCCAGTGGTGGGAAGTATTTGCATCCTAGCATAGTAAAACAGAACAATATAATAAAAATGTTGCAGTTAAAACATGTCTTAACTTTTATTGATCAGATGCAAAAACTCTTACTCAATGGGTATATATGGGTTTTATAGGGAGGCTGTTCTCTTTGTTGCACTGTTAAAAAATATGCCTTTTAGCTGGTTACAATTGTTTAAAAGGTGAACACAGCAGAACAAACTTTTTTCTAAAGATTTTTCCTGATATCCAGCGGCAGAAAAAAGAGCAAGAAAGACTGTAATGATAGATACTATGCTAAATCCCCGTCAAACCGTGCACATCCGTCACCATTTCTGTAAAGCAACGTCTAACAAGACAAATCTGGGGGGAAACAAAAAAAAAAAAATCAAAGACTGTGCAGCATTCAGAGAAATATCATGGATATAACAGTAAATTACAATAGAGAAGAGGAACTACATCTAGAATCTATTCAACTCAGCTGAAAACAAAACCCCCAAAATGACTGCAAGACAAAAAAGGAAGCAACAGCATTTACCACTTTGTGTTGAATGTATTAAGCTGCTAAATGAGGATGAGTGAAAACAAACATTCACTTACTGTAGAATGGGTTTGAATAAAAATCACACATTGGTGAGAGATGTGTTCAGTTGTAACCATGTTCAAACATCTGAACTGAAATGTACATTGTCTTTTTAAGTTAGACATTGCATCAGTCTGCAGCCTGTCTGAACTACAATGTGATGTGGTAGGAGCTGACCATTGTCCCCACCACATAGCCTACTTTGATTGCAACATGAGTTTCTATGCTTAACGCTTTGCATTATCTGTTTGAGTCAACCTTAACTGATTGTTAACAAAAACATTTCATAAATCACAGGATGCATTTCAATGAAACTTTCAGGAAGTAAATACTGGTTGTGCCTTCAATGAATTAACTCTAGGAGTTAACCAACAGGAGTGTAGCCACCCCAGCCAGTCAACCTCAGCCTACACAAAAATGGCTGCAACTCGGTGAATCACAAAGGTTTTGTGTGGTAGTAGCTGACAGTCATTAACAACACTTACTTCAAGTGCTAACAGATCATGCGAAATAATGCACGAGCTAACGCATGACGTTATTTTTAACATTTGACCAAAACAGCTCTTTCTCAGCGCAAGATGGTCTTAGTCTAAAACCGGCATGAAATATATATTTGTTCATTAGTCTTTTGAGCTGTATAGCTACTTCTTTTTATATCTTTATGTTTTACTTGTATTTGTGAGCAGTCTTTAAGTGTAACATGCATTGAGCCTAAATGCTTATTCATTCAACCTTTTATTTAGACAGCCTCGTGGACTCATTTACAAGAGAGACCTGTATGACATTGCCACGTTGATTTTTAAAATAAAATAAACATCGTCATTAAATACATGTTTGCTTTCTTATGGGTAAATACAGGGTCTGTACAGTACTAAAACTGAAACTAAATAGCCTCCTTTAACCCTCAGGATATTAGTTAAAGCTTTCCTAAACGTCTCTCAAAATTTGAACTTTTATAATAGCCTTTGTTATGTTTAGCTGTTTGAGGTATCTAGCTGTTATCTTTGTTCTTTTGTATTTGTTGCGTCTCAAACTAATTAGCACTTTAATTAGCTAGCCTCCTTGGCACATATGTTTCATGTTGTACAATTGTTTTTGTCCTGCAAGCATAATATGACTGTAACTTTCCTTTTATTATTTTGTTCAATTTATGCTCCCCCTGGCCATTCATCTCTTCTTGTCATTGTTGTTGTTATTCTGAAATGATGCAAAAAAAGATTGTGTGTGTGTGTGTGTGTGGGGGGGGGGGGGGGGGCCTAATTAGCTAGCTTTCTGTGTTTGGGTCTAACAGGAAGTTAGCTTAGCTTATGCTATAGCTAGAATTAGCTTGTTTGGAGTCAAGTATGCTCTGGGTCATAACTGGTATTTTCCAATTATTACACCCCAAAAAATACAGTTGTGGTTTGTTTCATAAATAAATAACTACTTAAATAAAAAATAAAGCAACTTTACGGACCTACTTTAAAATATCCTGATGCATGCTCAATAATCCAGATAGAAAAATCCAAAAAAGTTCAATCTGGTCCTCTGGAGGTGGAGGCCTCCGGGTTCAACTGTCCCCCTCTTACAATGCTGTGATTGCTAGTATCACTCAGCCCTCTGTGAACAGTAAACAGCCATCAGTGTGCTAATGATCCATTGTTAGGCTGATGGTCCTTCTTGAGCATGTGACCAGCTGGTTTTGGTTGTCAGCAGCAAAACTGGTTGATCAACTCTGAGAAGGTGCTATTTAAGAGACTGAGCTGAACACAGCACCTAAGACTGAGGATGTCTCTCGGATGAGAGACGAAACGTTTCTATATTTTTTTTGCTTTGTTTTTTTGAATGTCCAGAGGACCAGACTGAACTTTTTTGGACTACTTTAAAATAGCACTTTTTGGTGTGTCTTTTTAAGGTTATACATTAGAGAACGTTCATCCAAAGTTCCCTAAGTTGTTGCTAGTTGTAGAAGCTGCTACCAACCTTCAGAAAATGTTTCCAACAGGTGTCCCATTGGAAAAGCTCCATGCTTTTAGGTATGCACCTTAAAATACTTATGTATAGTTATTTCATCCTAGGCATAAAATGCATAACTATATTCATAGCGTTTACAGAAACACACTTTGTCATATTCTACCAACTTGTGCATAAATGTTTTACTTTAGTGACCATAAGTTTTACAAAAACATGTTTTTTCTAAAATAATCTATCTATCTATCTAGCGGCGGCAAAAAACGATCACGTGGTATAACAATTTTTGCGTCGTTGCCATGGAGTTGTTTATGAAAGACCGTCGCTCATTGGTTACACGCAAGTCCTCCTGTGCATTCATTGGTTGATTTGGCTTTTTATTTGGCCAATGGCGTAACGCGCTTTTTACAAACTGAAAGACCAGGAAGTTTACAGTTTCGTTATAAGGTAAGAAAAAAAAAAACTCCTAGTAAACCTAAAGAAACTGAAGTGCGGCATTAACTTTCTTTGAAATATATGACAAGATTTACAGATTGTAGTAATCAAGCCTTTAATATTCATAAAGTTTGTAGAATAAGTAAGGTAAGCTTTCGGTTTTGTAGCGTGTTCGACGATGCAGCTTTCTGTTGTGCAGCGTTAAACCAACTTGTATTTTTGGCCTGTATTACATTTTTCTATGTAGTTTTGAGATATTTTGTCCATGTTTAGTCTTTGTTAACCCTGTGCAGCGTTTCGTGTTGGATCGACATCTCATATTTAATGCCATTTGCTGCTCAAATTTAATCACAAACAGCTCTGGCCTCTAACCCTTTCTCTAGTCGTCAACATGAATTCTCTTCCAGTCCTTCGTAAGCAAACTCTGAACGAAATCCGTAGTAATCTTCAAAGGTAAGTCATTTTAAGCCATTTAAACTACTATTCACCTTTCTCCTACTTGCCTTTGTGTAAAATCTCATTGCTTTTTTGTTGTTGTTGGTCATTTAATGTATTTGTGGAGCATCATAGAAAACTGTCATCTACAGAAAGCCTCTATACATTTATCTACAAACTGATAATCTATAGGTTAAAGGGCATTTATAGTTGATATACAACAGTATTTAAAAAAAAAAAGACAATCACACTTTTGTATTTTGAAATCTGATTGTGAAGTTTGGATGGTTTAAAAACAAACTGAGCCTCGGTGTTTTGTATTCCTTGCAACACACAACAGAGTTGTTCAGAGTGATAACTATACTGTACAGGTGATTTATTATTATTTTTTTCTTTTGCTAATACTAAGTCATATCCCCTTTTGTGGGTGTGTGGGGAGTGTTCAATTAAAGCTGGTGCAAAGCCTCTGCAAAAAAACAGTTAAAAGAAAAGCTTCTGAATTAGAAAGCAGCTGTAATACTTTCTGAAACCTGTCACACTGCAGCTTCTCATATTTGATTACATTTTCTGGACACTATTATCCAATCTTGTTTTTAAATTGGCTAAAAAGATCAATCTGATTTCTATGCAGTCTGGAAAAGTCTAGAAATGGTAGAAGTGGAAAATATAACTTCCTCACTCAGTATTTATTTGTTACATTTGATTTGTTTCTACACAGAATGGATAATGAACAGAACATAAGTCCGGCAGACATGAAGATTTTTAAATGCATCTCTTCATTCCATCTTTCAAACAAAGACTGTGAGAACCAAGTTACAGCAAAATGTGCTCAAAAGCCACTTTTGCAACATGGTAGGAGCAGGATTCCAGTCCTCGCAAAGACTCTTCATCTGCAGACCTCTGAATTTAACCAGTGCTACACCAAGTGGGAGGAAAAACCTTTAGTTGTAAGGGCCTTCATCCTATTCTGTAGATTTCAAAACTGTATTTATGATTTTATTATGCTGTTCTTACATTTTCTGCACTTCTATTTCTACAGCGTAAAGCTAAGACAAAAAGGCAGTCCACCCAGCCTGTACTGTTCAACCATCATCGCAACAAAACACAAAAGGTGGCAGAGATTCACAAACCTTTAACTGATTCACACTCAAAAACTCATGCTGTTCACTCCAACACAAGTGCATGCAATGCAAAACCAAGTAACCCTCAAATTGTGTTAGACGGCAAAGGGAATTCAGTCAGAGGTGTGGATCAGTATCTTGGAAAGACTGTTGAAAATGCGTCTCAGCTGTCAGGGCAGTCAAGGCCATCCAAACCACTAAAGACTTCAGCCACTTTAAACAATCCCTTGTCTTCAGTTTCTGGTAAAACGGTGCAGAATGAAGGTAGTTCTGCACAGTTTGTTCCCGGGGCTGAAGACGCTTTGGATAACATGAACCTGCTCAGTCTCAAAGAGCCTTCCAAGTCATCGCATGCTGAGTTACAGACACTGCAGGACCATTCTTCAAATGGTAATACTTTCAATTTGTTGTTTTCTCTGTACACTCAGAATACCTCTGCTTTATGTACACAGTGGGGAAAATAAGTAATTGGTACTCTGCTGATTTTGCACGTTTTCCCACCAACAAAGACTGAAGAAGTCTATAATTTTTATCGAAGGTACACTTCAATTGAGACAGAATCTTTGAAAAAAAAAAAAAAAAAGGAAAATCACATTGTATGAGTTTTTTTAAATAATTAATTTACATCTTATTGCATGAAATTAGTATTTGCTCACCTACCAAACGGCAAGAATTATGGACCTCACAGACCTGTTTTTTGTTTTTAAGAAGCCCTCTTATTCTGCACTCGTTATTTGTATTAATTGCACCTGGTTGAATTTGTTACCTGTATAAAAGACTCTTGTACACACACTCAATCAATCACGCTCCAACCTCTCCACCATGGCCAAGACCAAAGGGATGTCTTACGGACACCAGGGACAAAATTGTAGACTTGCTCAAGGCTGGGATGGTCTACAGAACAATGGGCAAGCAGCTTGGTGAGAAGAAAACTGTTTGTGCAGATATTAAAAAATGGAAGAAACAAAAGATGACTCAATCTTCCTCTCTGTAGCTCCATGCAAAATGTCTCCTTGTGGGGTAAGAATGATTCTGAGAAGGGTCAGGAATCTGTCCAGAACTCTACTGGAGGACCTGGTCAATGACCTGAAGAGAGCTGGGACCACAGTCTCTAAAGAGGACCATTAGTAACACTACACAGTCATGGTTTAAGATCCTGCAGGGCACGCAAGGTCCCCCTGCTCATGCCAGCACGTGTCCAGGCCCGTTTGAAGTTTGCCAATGACCAGCTATGATCCAGAGGAGGCATGAGAGAAGGTCGTGGTCAGATGAGACCAAAATGGAGCGTTTTGGTATCGACTCCACTCACCGTGTTTGAAGGAAGGATGAGTACAACCCCAAGAATATCGTCTCAGCCGTGAAGCATGGGGGTGGAAACATCGTACTTTGGGGTGCGTTTTGGCGAAGGGGACAGGATGACCGCACCATATTGAAGGGAGATGGATGGGGTCATGCATCGTGAGATTTGGGACAACGAGCTCCTTGCCTCAGTTAGAGATCAGATGATTCCTGTAGTTCTTGAACAAGTTTGCACACATTGCAGCAGGGATTTTGGTCAACTCCTCCATACTGATCTTCACATCTTTCAGGTGTCTGGGTTGTGACTGGACAACATCGAGTTTCAGCTCCCTCCTAGAATTTTCTATTGGGTTCAGGTCTGGAGATTGGCTAGGTCACTTCAGAACCTTGAACTGCTTTTTATGGAGCCACTCCTTAGTTGCGTTGGCCGTGTGTTTCAGGTCATTGTCATGCTGGAAGATTCAGTCATGACCCATTTTTAATGCTCTTACTGCAAACAAAGGTTTCTGCACCAAAATAAGTTCTGCTTGTTTATTGTATCAAATACTTGTTGCATGCTATAAAATGCAAATTATTTAAAAATCAGTAATTTTCTGGATTTTCTTAGATTCTTTTTCTCAGTTGGTGTACCTACGATTGTATAAAAAAAAAGTAAATTAGACCTCCATTCTTTGTAGGTAAGAAAATTTGCAAAGTCTGCAGTGTATCAAATGCATACGTGTGTGTGTGTGTGTTTAGTTTCTCATATCTGCACTAAATCTGACATTGATACTGTCATAATAATTGAAGGTAAATGAGTGATCATATGCCACTTTGCTTTTTTTTTTTCTTTCTTGATTTGGATTGTTTATTTTCAGACAAAGAACAGAACGTTCAACTAGACCACGCAGCTTTGCTTCGTGTTCTCAAAAATGAAGGAGTAACTCCAAGATCCAAACCTTACAAAAACCTGGTGAGCGTCATTTATTTTTATTCATTTTTTTTTTTTTTTAGGCTTTATATTGCCATGTTTGTTTTTGGACATTTTTTTCTTATTGTAAATTTGTCTGATTTGTGAGCAATCAAAATTAAACTTAAACCCATTTGTTATATATATACCATCCTGTATGCAGCCTCAGCGAATGTCCGTCAAGAAGAGTCTACGAAAAGCTGGACCCCCGGCAGGTTGGCAATGCAGCAGTGAACACGAAGCGGGATTTTTTTTTTTTTTTAATTTAATACAAGAATTCTGTGAACATATTGCTTTTGTGAATTTAAAAAAAATTGATTACCTTTTTTTAAAAACCTTTCACTTGTTGCATAATTTACAGTATTTGTATTTCTGCCCTATTTTTTTTTTTTTTACAGTGAGCCTTGTGCTAAATTTAGATGCTCAATGCTCACTTCAGTTTTTTTATTTTTTATTTAAGGCCTAGTATTCCTTGAATGCTCATCGCCTGCTGCTTTTAATGTCAGTTTTTGACAAATATCTGATATTGAGAAATGACAGAATTTTTTATTTTACCCTGTTCATTGTCAACGAAATGTGCTTTCTTGCAGGACCAGAGAGAATGGTCCACTTCTCACCAGACTCTACGGCTCTGCAAAGTATTCTTCAGAATGAGGGTGTGAAGGCAGGTGGGCCTCTGGGTGCCACGTTCATAGAATCAGTCTGTGCGTCCAACAGAGGAACCTCAATCTACACCGTATGAGAGCATTAAATTTGATCCAACTTCTGCTATTCTTCCTTCTTGTTATAATAATTGCTGATGGGTTTTATAACGCGTTTGTTAGGCTCAAAGAATGCCCGTAAAGAAACGCAACGCAGAGGCAACTGGCGGCCCAGTGGGTAAGATGTAGAATTGTTGGTTTAAAGCACCTAATGCAACCTTATCTGCCTTTTTATTTTATTTTTTACCCTGATGTGATGTTTGCTGCTTTCTCCAGCACTCAGACAGACTCCACTGGTGAAACAGACCCCCCAGAGGATTTGCAACACCAAACATCAGTCCACGTCTATGGTCTGTACACTCTTTGTCGTTTGGCACGTTGCGTTTCATGCAGCCGCTGCTTTACATCCTCCTGCTGCTTCCGTTTTCAGAAAGGGTGTCAAACTCCATACAGCGCACTCGGACCCAGGCGCTGCAATGTCAACGTTCACTCATGTCAGGAGGTGAGACGTAATCAAGTTTGTGCAAGAGGTTTTGCAGCCGATGTGGCTTGTTCTGAATTTTTTATTTTTTTTATTTTTTATTCATTTTGCCAACCATTAAATTAGTTAGGAGCTTGGTCGTTATTAGTTTTACTGCCACTTAGTAAAGCATTTCTATTGATGACTGCCATTAAAAGGTGTCCATGGTTGCGTTTTAATAAACCTCGAAGAAAGTGATCATTAGATGTATTTGGGCAGCACGGTGGATCAGTGGTTGGCACTGTTGTCCCACAGCAAGAAGATCCTTGGTTCAATCCCAGATATGGACTTGGGGTCTTTCTGTGTAGAGTTTGCATGTTCTACTCATGTTTGTGTGAGTTTTCTCTGGGCGCTCAGTTTTCTCCCACAGTAAAAAACAAACAAAAAAATGTATGTTAGTCTGCCTTCAGGCCCAGGCTTCCCTTGCAAAATAGATATGTGATCTCAATGGGATTTGTCTGGTTTATTGAAGGTTAATAAACGTCTGCTACTGATGAACATTAAAACAGATTTCAAATGGCCACCACAGCCAATTGACCTATGAATGTCTGTCTGACTATAACACAGCCATATTTATAGCTATTAAACTAAAACCTGCTGTGGTAGCTGTTACTTGCAACACATTCTCTGAGCGCTAACATCACACGAGATCTTGAAACTTTAGCACACAATGCAACAAGGAATATGCATTCCCTCACGAAATGCTAGTTTGATTTAGGGGTGCACAGATTGCAGTTTTCTGGTCGATCACTGATTTCTAAAAAGTCTGACCTGCCGATACCGATTTTGTTTTATAAGCGACACTGTCGGGTGTTGTAAGGTCACAATGCATCTTCAATTTTCCAGTATTTTATTGAAAAACATACACTTGAACAATATCCTAGAAACGATACAAACTTGTTTTAACTGGCCATGAGGTAGTGCTCTGAAATATAAATGAAGTTCAGACAATTGTTAAAACAACAAAATTAGGTAAAATCTGTTTCTCGTGCAAGGATCAGCCGATTTCTCAAAATTAAGGAAATGGGGCCGATCAGCCGGCTGATTTATCAGTGCACCCCTAGTTTAATTTATAAATATACTTTACAGGATTGGACTTCAATGTCTTATCATAAGATGACCTTCGTTTAAAACTAGGGCATGTGAGATGGTGTTAATGAATCACCTCAAAGCTTGTCCATTTTATTATTGTGCTGACAATATTATTCAAAATTGTTCATATTTTATTTAGCACAAACTCCAAATGTCAGTGTATTTGTTAAAATGGTGGTATGTAAACTAATTTGAATTATGGCCACAGGATTTGTTTCCCTATTTAAAGTTTGTTTTAAATAAACATATAAAAATGATTCTCCTAATGTCTTGATTATGAGGAAAAATAGATCTGATGTGCACACAGTTGTGGGAAAAAAAAAATATTTTAATGGATATTTAATCTTGTAGAACCTTTAGATAATAAAACTGCAAGCGGGCAACAAAAATGGTGATCCTTTGGCAGCGCGACAGCTCAGTGGCTAGCACTGTTGCCTCACAGCAAGAAGGTCCTGGGTTCAATCCCCGGTTGGACCTGGGGTCTTTCTGTGTGGAGTTTGCATGTTCTCGTGCTTGTGTGGGTTTTCTCTGGGTACTCCAGTTTCCAACCACAGACCAAAAACATGCATGTTAGGCTGCCTTCAGGCCCAGGCCTCCCTGTGATCTCAATGGGATTTACCTGGTTAAATAAAGGTTAATAAATAAAATTGGTGATCCTAAACTGCTCTTATCGTCTTTAAACCAGAAATGCACTGTTTCCAAATGTATCAACTAATATAATGCATTATGGCACTGAGTCACAATTTATCTGATGGTTTTGTTAACAGAAGGTTGTCCAGAGATTATTTGACGACCCAGAAGATGAGCAGAGCACATCTGGGCCAGACAAGGATCCGGAGACTCAATCCAAGCGGCTCCCAGTGCAAACCTCATCTGTATGAAGTGAAATTAGAGACGATGAATCATAGTCAGTATTTGATGCTTTTACAATAAACTGTCAGCTCATCTTTTCTTTTTCTCGTCTTCAGTGTTCTTCCAGTAAGGAGCCGGTAGATGCATACAGAACAAAGGAGGAGAAGACTTCAGTGCCAGCGCAGCCAAGAGAGTCTGTCATCGTCTTCTCAACTAGTAAAAAGCTGCTCAGAGCCTCACAGCTGGATCTGAACGTCTCTGATCAGCTTGGTCCAGTTTCGTCCAACCAAAGGAACTTGTCCGGAGCTCAAAGTGAAACATCTGCAGAGTCTGAGCCAGCTCGTCACAGCATCCCATCTGTTCTGCCTCAGCACAGAGGTACCACTGATGGATAATGCATCTCATAATAATTAATCTCATAATAATTTGTAATGTATTGTGTTTATAAGTTTCTTCTTCTGTTATAGACCCGACTACACAAAAGACTAGTTCTCTGAGTTCTGCTGTGCTGATGTTGCGAAAGCGTTTCCTTCCTCTGGAGGAGCTGCTTTTGGATGACGAGGTGTCGACCTACACCTCAAAGTCCGTCACCGCTGCTCCCGGGTTCCTCCACCCCTGGCCTCGCTGTGAAAACCCGCTTGCCTCCACTTTGCACTTTGAAGAGTCCACTGTAAGTACTCACCTGAGCTTATGCTAGTTCAGTCTTATCGCCTGCTGTCATGATGGGCTTGCAGGTGTCGATGCCTCTTTATGACCTCCACAGCTAATCAACTTTAGCAAACAGAAAAGTGGTTGCAAGCATGTAATTATCCGAGAATCATCCTGAACACAGCGCTGACAGATCATGCTAGATATGTACAAAAATCTGTCATATTTGATGGATTGGGCTGAGTTCAACCGACGTTCAGCTGATTTGATCTGAACTATTCAAAAGTTAAAGTATGACGCTCTATGCATGCTCATTATGATTTGCAAATCGTCTTTAGATTAGTTGACACTTAAAACGCTTGAGTAATGTATTCTTGCAACATTTAAACATGCATTTGGATTAAAATGCTGCTCACAACAGAACAAAAACATGCCAAATTAAAATAAACCTTTTTTGTCTTTTTGTTTTCCAGAAATTTTTTCCTATCGACTTTGTTCTTCCTCCGGCTTTGCACAGCCCTCAACTGCAGAAAAGATAACATGCATTACATTCATGTGCTGATGTCTTCATCACTGTCTCAATGTTTTTTGTTTTTTTCTTCTTAGTTCCTAGTGTTTATTTTTATTTTTTATTTTTTTATTGTAAAAGAAATAAACTACCCGTTTTTAAAGTGTCATTCGTATTAATAAATGCATTTGTTTTTATGTGGGGCGCACTTTGATTTCTTACTCCACTTTTTGTTAAAATATAATTTTATCTGAAACTTGTTTCTTTAATTCTGGTTGTTCTGGCCCGTTTTAATTTTCATACTTGCCACATGATGGGCTCTGGAGTGTGATTCCCTCAAATGAAGAGTTGGAGGGGAAAAATGTCTCCAACTTGAATTTGAAACTGGAAAATTTGAAAGTGCAACCATATTATCTGAAAGCAGAGTCCTTTCTGACTGAGAGACAAGATCGCACTGAAGCTGGAACTTTTTAAACGTAATTGCTAACTTGTAAATTATTGGGGGTACCATACTTCTCAAGTCAATTAAAGTGTTTCTGGCACTCAGATTTTTGTTCATCCAGGCTTAAAATTATTTAACATTTATCTTTAAAATAAAATGTGTTGTAGCTTTAACTTGGTGCACATTTAACCTAAAATGAGCCACTGTTTTGCATGTGACCACTGGCCTCGCTGCTCCACCGGCTTCCCTCTCATTCCTACACATGTACTGTCTTACTACGGCTGACTTTCATTCCTCTTCAAGTGCATACTGCCACCTCTCAAAGTTATCTTCCACCTGTTCCCTGTTCTCACCACAGATCACAATGTCCTCTGCAAACGTAGTCCACGGGTATTCCTGCCTGACCTCATCTGTTACCACCAGAGCAAACAAGAAGGGGCTCAGAGCTGATCTTCGATGCAGTCCCACCTCCACCTTGAAGCCGTCACGCCTACAGCACATCTCACCACTATCTTGCTGTTCTCATACATGTTCTGTACCAGTCTAACATACTTTGCCATCTTCTCATCAGTTTAAAAAAATAAACCATGAACAGGAGCGGGGGAAAAAAACAGGTATTTCTGTTGCAGGCAGGACCATCAACATGTTCTGAATGAGGCCTTAAATTTATTGGCTCTTTTTATCCTAAAGATCTGTAAAGTCAGTTCACCATTTAAAGATGATCCCAGTTCTGGTCTGACGAGGTACATTTTCAGGAGTTTCATGTCTTGTTTAAATTTGTTGCCCAACTAGTCTTTTAACAAACTTCTGAAATTTTTATTTTTTTGACAACTTCAGTTTGGATTTGTCCATCTGCTGTCAGTGCAGTTTGAATAAATGTAGAGAATATTGACCCCCCCCCCCCCCCCCCCCCCAGTCACACTATTTCCAGATGTGCATTGCACTATCTCCATCTTAACTGTCCACTGGTGGTTACAGTTATATTTAGTTTGGCCATGAGTGAGTAAGGGTTGGAGGGGTCAAGAATAGAGGCAGTTGGTTCACAAAGCTTGTGCCTTCCCTCGTGACACATAGAAACTGAGAGTGAAGGACGGGCACCCCATTCTTTCTCCTGCCTCACATCGAGGACTCTCGTCTCCCCAAAGCATGTCCAAAGATCTCCATCCAACCATGGATCCGACAAAGATGGGCCTCGGACGGTCCATCGCCGTGTTGACGTCAGGAGGAGATGCCCAAGGTAAGTGGAGGATGAAGTTGTGCTGGGTTAATCACATCTTAAAGAGTTGCTTTAAACATTAAATGGGTTTCAAAGGAGGATCAAGTTCTTACCTTGCACATTTTGTTAACACCGAATCCCAACCAGCTGGAGAAGTTTATCTTGTAGGAGCCAACTGTGTCAAAATTTGAGCTTTGTGAACATGTTGGGTTAAGGCACTTTTAATATTTAAGGGTAAAACAAGTGAGAGCTTGCTGGTGTATGATAAATGTTAGAGAATCCTACGTCTTAGAATCAATGCACCCTCATCATTCGATGTGTAACTTTCAGTTTAACGTTTCATACCTTCAAACTTCAAAATGTCAAATTAATATTTTCCATTAAGTTGTTTTACATGAATGTAATCTTTGCATTTTGCTTCTACCCACTCTGCTGAACAGGAAGCATCATTCTGACATAGTCCGGTCCAGTATTTCACCCCAAACCTTTGTGTTGGTTTATGTTTTGTGGCTCTCATATGTTCCGCCAACCATTTTTTTCCTCTTTGGGGCTAATTTTAGTGGCGCTGACCTTTTTCTGGTATGGAGGAGAGAAACCCCCACCCAACCACAGCTGCTGTCTGGTGAAACAAGAGCTGCCAAAAGTGTGCTTGTCACAACACAAACTCAGTGGCTTTAGCGTCCTAAACCCTACTCCCGTTCTTTATTTCCACTGGCTATTTTTGTCTTGTGCTACTTCAAGGTCAAGTTGAGTCAGAGGCTGTATATCTGACAGAATGGATATAATCATTGTGTGCAGATAAAATCACACATGAAGGTGTTTGTGACTTGCAGGTATGAACGCTGCTGTGAGGGCTACGGTCAGAGTGGGTCTCTACACTGGAGCCAAAGTTTACTTTGTTCATGAGGTATCGGCTGTTTTAAAGACGCACCAGTTCATCATGTTTAACACAAACCAGACTCATCAGCACCAGATATCTATATACGCTGAGAAAAAAAAAATGCTTGTCCTGTAGGGCTACCAGGGCCTGGTGGATGGAGGAGACAACATTCGTCCTGCCACATGGGAGAGTGTGTCCATGATGCTGCAGCTGGTGAGTTGACTCACCAAACACTTGCATCAGGAAAAAGCAAACGTTAAAACAATCATAATGCACTCTTCTTCAAAGGGCCGTTGTACTCAGTTTAAAGTAGAACGATGACCCAAATGTGTTCTGATTCTTCTAATCCTGTACCATACTTTCAATTGAAACATAAAATAACTACAAGATGCAGTTAGTAGCTACTGCCTCTCAGCAAGAAGGTCGCTAGACTGAATCCCGGCCGGGGGGGCGCTATTCTGGGTGGAGTTTGCATGTTCTCTCTGCGCATGCATGGGTTTTCTCCGGTTTCCTCCCACAAAAACATGCATGTTATGCTGATTGGTAACTCTAAATTGTCCCTGGTGTGAATGAGAGAGTGAATGGTTGTCTCATTTGTCTCTGTGATGGACTTGTGACCTGTCCAGCATGTCCCCCGCCTCTCGCACAATGATTGCTGGATATGGGCACCAGTGATCCCCGTGACCCAAAAAGGAAGAAGTAAAAGATAACGGATGGATGGAATTCTGTACACAAGTTTTTGTCCACTGCCTTTGACGCTGGACTTTTAGACCAAGAAGAGTTGAAGCCGCTTTGATCAAACCTCGTAAAAGTTGCTGTTCATAATCTTTTGTAATGTTGCAAGTTATAATTCTCAGTTGAGAGTGACATTACTCACACAACAAATTTTAGCCAAATAAGTACAAAACTAATCGGTTTATATCAATTTTGTTATTGGCTAATGTTGTTTAGCTATGACAGCCGTCTAGAATTGAATTGATTTCAAAGGTTAATCAGGTGCAGATGTCCATCCAAAGATTATTTTCTAAAAGCTTCATTAAATTAAGTCCTTTATAAATGAAGCACCAGTCAAATTTTCTTAGAGCTATTCTTTAATCAGTGTTTTTGTAAGTATATGAACTCACTGAGTCGATGAACAGTGTGGGAGCAGCCACCTGAACTTCTTCTTGATGAGATGGATTTTTCTTTTTTATGATCTAGCTGACCTTTATACTGTGAACTTCTCGAGAAGCGTAGAGGTTTCCCCAGGGATCAGAGATTCTTATAACTCAATACATTGGTTTTGAATGCTGACAGCTGACTCAGCCAAATGACTGAAGGATGGCGAAACTCGTGATTAACATTTCTTTCATCTCTGGTGTCTAAATAAAGTGACCTGGGATGAATGAGCCAACCAGTGCACGTGATATGTTTCCTTTGCCCGTGGAAGATCTGACATCATCTGTAGTGAATTTGTGACTTGAGTTGCTGTACACATTGCTGGTTCAAATCTGCACCAAACTTCTTTCTTCTAAGAAAAATAATGTCATTGTGCCATGTAATGGATCCTTTTCGTGTTGTAGGGCGGCACCGTCATCGGCAGCGCTCGCTGCAAAGACTTCAGAACCAGGGAGGGCCGTACAAAGGCAGCCTGTAACCTAGTGAAGCTCGGGATCACCAACCTGTGCGTGATCGGAGGTGACGGCAGTCTGACTGGAGCCAACGAGTTTAGGACCGAGTGGAGCGGCCTTTTGACTGACCTGGTCCAAGCGGGTAAAGAAACAAGACTTACAAATCTGTAAAACTAAATTCAGCCAGCTTTAACATATTTCTTCGATTTTACATACAAATGTAACTTTTACTTTTCTGCAGGTAAGATTACAAAAGAAGAAGCCAAGAAATCGTCCCACTTGAACATTGTTGGCATGGTCGGCTCCATTGATAATGATTTCTGTGGCACCGACATGACCATTGGCACTGACTCCGCCCTGCACCGCATCATCGAGGTGCTGGACGCCATCACTACCACTGCACAGAGGTCAGACACCCTTGTACAACTTGCATGACAAGATCAGAAAAACATTTTAATTCTTCTAAGTTCAACGTTTAAGTCAGTCAGTCATTTCTCATGCAAGTTATTTTTGCAGAGTTCTTACGTCTTTGTGGTATTAAAGTTCTCATGTTTGTAATAAATAAATAAATAAAAGCACTTTATGCATTTATCTTAACAGTTTGCTGTGACTGTACAGAAGCAGTCAGTGTCTGGATGTAATGAGGTTTTGTTTTTTGCGTTTGTTTGCAGCCACCAGAGAACATTCATACTGGAAGTAATGGGCCGACACTGTGGGTCAGTACATTGTGCCCGACATGTTTAGTACGCCAACACTTTCAAAACAACCTATTTCACCAAAGTGTACAAAATATGACTTAATAGTCTTTGAAGGAATGTTTATCACCTGCCTCATTTTAAGCAAAGCTCTCTTGCGTTCTGTTAGTGCACAGAGTATGAGTTGGAGATGACTCTCAGCTACTACCACACCAAATTGTATCTCAATATCTGTAGAACTGACTAAATTATTAATATATTTGTAGTTCAGGTCAGCTGTGGAAACAATTTTGAAGCTGATGATGAAGTTACTGAAGCTGCAGATGAACATCCACTTTTTGAGAGTTTCATTGAAATCCATTCAGTGGTTCATGAAATATTTTGCTAACAAACCTACACATAAACACAAACAGGTATGAGCCATGAGCCTTTCATAGAAACAATGATAATAAATCAAAAAGCAGCACTAAATGTACAGAACAATTAAAACGTAATTTAAAAAACAACAAGAAGTTGAGCTTGAACAATAAAAGCCAACAGTCTAAGCAGCTCTAATTTGTAAAACCAAGATGCTCCAAAGCTCACGGGTTATTTAAATTTAGATCCTAAATGAACAGCAAGTCCGCTCATATGGACTATCTTTCAAGTACTGAAGATTGATTACTAGATTGATGGTACTGATTGATTAAGAGCAACATGCAGAGTTTCAGCGACCCAAATGAGATGTAATTAAGGCATAAATCATCTGTTCAGGGTCATGTAATTTAGGTAATCTTTTTACGAAATGGATTAGTTGAAAAGGCTTAACTTATGAGCTAATCTGTTCATCGATTAAAAAGTTAGGTTAAAAAATTTCACTCAAACAGGTGACAACAACAATGGTAACAGTTTATCTTTAACAAAGTTTATACATTCCATCCATCCATCCATCCATCCATTATCTTTTACCCGCTTCTTCCATTATGGGTCACGGGGGTCGCCGGTGCCCATGTCCAGCAATCACTGTGCGATGGGCCGGGTACACCCTGGACAGGTCTCCAGTCCATCACAGGGCCTAAGACAGTTTAGGTCTGAATAAAAAAAAAAAGTCATTAGCTGGTCCAGACGGACAGATCTGAAGGTCATCAACAAACACTGAAGGACTTTAGTATGCTTTTAGAACATGGAGTCTGAGGGGAAAACCATCCATCCATCAATCAATCAGTCAATCCCATTCATCCATCCATCAATCAATCAATCCCATCCATCTGTTCATTCATCCATCCCATTAATCAATTAATCCCATCCATCAATCCCATCCATCCATCCATCCATCCATCCATCAATCCTATCAATCAATCCATCCATCCATTCATGCATTTGTTCATTCATTCATTCCAGGGCCACGTAGAGACAAACATCCATTATCTCTCTCACTCACACCTAGAGACAATTTAGAGTTACCTGTCAGTCTAACATGCATGTTTTTGGTCTGTGGGAGGAAACCGGAGTACCCGGAGAAAACCAACGCATGCACAGAAAGAACATACAAACTCCACCCAGAAAGGTCCCCGGCCGGGATTCGATTCAGCAACCTTCTTGCAGAGAGGCAACAGCACTACCAACTGAGCCATTCAGGGGGAAACCACAACAGAAAACCTCTGTGACCACAAAGAAGAAGACATGACTGACGGTTTACAGCGTTATCGGAGAAAATACGAGTAAAACATGGAAAATGTTTACAGCAAGGTTTCACCACACAAACATCCATCCATCCATCCATTATTTTTACCCGCTTATTCCATTTTGGGTCACGGGGGTCGCTGGTGCCCATGTCCAGCAATCACTGTGCGAGGGGCGGGGTACACCCTGGACGGGTCACAAGTCCATCACAGGGACACATAGAGACAAACAACCATTCACACTTTCACTCACACCTATGGACAATTTAGAGTTACCAATCAGCCTAACATGCATGTTTTTGGTCTGTGGGAGGAAACCGGAGCACCCGGAGAAAACCCACGCATGCACGGAGAGAACATGCAAACTCCACCCAGGAGGCCCCTGGACCGGGGTTTGAACCAGGGACCTACTCGCTGAGAGGCAGCAGCTCTACCAGTTGCGCCACCGTGCTGCCCACCACACAAACAATTCCTTTTAATTAATTATTGATTTTAAAATAGGAACTAAATGATCTGTTTCCTTTTTTTGTGCTTTGTTTTTTGCCATAATTTCATGTTTTAAACGAGTTATGTTTGATCCGCTTTGTTGCCAGAACATGTGCCTGTGTGACGTTCAGGGGCTGCTCGCTCATTGTGGTGCTTTTGTTTGTGTTGCTGCAGGTACCTGGCCCTGGTGACGGCTCTGGCCTGCAGTGCTGACTGGGTTTTCATTCCTGAGATGCCCCCAGATGAAGGCTGGGAGGATCACTTGTGCAGGAGGCTGACAGATGTGAGTTTATTTAATTGCAGATTGTTGCATTTACACTTTCTGTTCACACCTCCAAATCAAATCTATGAACTCGCGCTCACATCCTTTTGCTGACTGCATTTGTAAAACATTGCAGCAACGAGCCAGAGGCTGCCGTCTGAATGTAATTATTGTGGCTGAGGGTGCAAACACCAGCGATGGCAAACCGATCACATCTGATCTGATCAAAAAGGCAAGCTCCTCCTTCTGGAATCAGTTTTGCTCAGGCAAAATGCTAACTATTGATAGGTTTAATTTTGTTCTTCAGCTGGTGACTGACAGGCTGGGCTTCGATACCCGCACCACTGTTCTTGGACACGTGCAGCGAGGAGGAACACCCTCCGCCTTCGACAGAATCCTGGTGACTATCAGCAGTTAGAAAACGTGCAGCTCCACCTGTTCCCAGCTGACGATCCAAACGTTTGTGTTGTCCAGGGCAGCAGGATGGGCGTGGAGGCGGTGATGGCGCTGCTGGAGGCCACTCCAGAAACTCCTGCCTGTGTGGTCAGCCTGTCAGGGAACCAGGCAGTCCGGCTGCCCCTCATGGAGTGTGTGCAAGTGGTGCGTCAGGTTCTGCTCACCTGCAGAGTGCGATGCGTTGTGCATAGCCTTTACAAGCAGTCCTCCTCATGTATTGTTCATCTCACAGACCAAAGACGTGACCGCTGCCATGAATCAGGGTAAATTTGAAGAAGCCATCAAGCTCAGAGGAACGTAAGTATTTTCATTTGAAATGTCACCTGGTCTTTATGAGTCAACTGCAGCCAAAGGTGAAAGGTCAGGAAGTTTTTGTTGATGTCTGTATCTGTGTTCGTTTGTTTGACTTTATTATGGGCATAACAGCCAGTTTTACAGCTGCTGAGCTAAATATAGTGTGGTGGTAGCTGAGAGTCTTGCTCAACACATTCTCTGGGTGCTATCGCATCGAGAGAGAAAGAGCTCACAATATTTTTATAATAATAACATTAGTAAAAATACAAATTTAACCATGTTATTCAAGTATATAACTGCTCCTGGATGAAAAAAACAACAAAAAACTATCAATTTGAAGAGTCACTGACATTTTGCCTCTTGATATATATATATATATATATATATATATATATATACATATATATATATATATATATACAGTGGGGAGAACAAGTATTTGATACACTGTTGATTTTTCAGGTTTTCCCACTTGCAAAGCTTGTAGATGACTGTAATTTTTATCATAGGTACTCTTCAACTGTGAGTGATGGAATCTAAAACAAAAATCCAGAAAAATACAATGTATGATTTTTAAATAATTAATTTCCATTTTATTGTGTGAAATAAGTATTTGATACACCAGAAAAATGAAACTTAATATTTGATACAGAAACCTTTGTTTGCAATTACAGAGATCAGACGTTTCCTGTAGTTCTTGACCAGGTTTGCACACACTGCAGCAGGGATTTTGGCCCACTCCTCCACACAGATCTCCTCCAGAGCCTTCAGGTTTCGGGGCTGTCGCTGGGCCACACGGACTTTAAGCTCCCTCTAAAGATTTCTATGGGATTCAGGTCTGGAGACTGGCTAGGCCACTCCAGGACCTTAAGATGTTTCCTACGGAGCCACTCTTTAGTTGCCCTGGCTGTGTGTTTTGGGTCGTTATCATGCTGGAAGATCCAGCCACGACCCATCTTCAGTGCTCTTACTGAGGGAAGGAGGTTGTTGGCCAAAATCTCACGATACATGGCCCCATCCATCCTTCCCACAATATGGTGCAGTCGTCCTGTCCCCTTTGCAGAAAAGCATCCCCAAAGAATGATGTTTCCACCGCCATGCTTCACGGTTGGGATGGTGTTCTTGGGGTTGTACTCATCATTCTTCTTCCTCCAAACATGACGAGTGGAGTTTAAACCAAAAAGTTCTATTTTTGTCTCATCAGACCACATGATCTTCTCCCATTCCTCCTCTGGATCATTCAGATGGTCATTTGCAAACTTCAGACGGGCTTTGACATGCGTTGGCTTGAGGAAGGGCACCTTGCGTGCACTGCAGGATTTTAATCCTTGACGGCGTAGAGTGTTACTGATTGTTTTCTTGGAGACTGTGGTCCCAGCTCTATTCAGGTCATTGACCAGGTCCTGCCGTGTAGTTCTGGGCTCATTCCTCACCTTCCTCAAGATCAATGATGCTCCACGAGGTGAGATCTTGCATGGCGCCCCAGACCGAGGGAGATTTTCCGTTATTTTGTATTTCTTCCATTTTCTAATAATTGCACCAACTGTTGTTGCCTTCTCACCAAGCTGCTTGCCTATTGTCCTGTAGCCCATCCCAGCCTTGTGCAGGTCTACAATTTTATCCCTGATGTCCTTACACAGCTCTCTGGTCTTGGGCATTGTGGAGATGCTGGAGTCTGATTGATTGAGTGTGTGGACAGGTGTCTTTTATACAGGTCACGGGTCCAAACAGGTGCAGTTAATACAGGTAATGGGTGGAGAACAGGAGGGCTTCTTAAAGAAGAACTAACATGTCTGTGAGAGCCAAAATTCTTACTGGTTGATAGATGATCAAATACTTATTTCACACAATAAAATGGAAATTAATTATTTAAAAAGCATACATTTTATTTTTCTGGATTTTTGTTTTAGATTCCATCACTCACAGTTGAAGAGTACCTATGATAAAAATGACAGTCATCTACAAGCTTTGCAAGTGGGAAAACCTGAAAAATCAACAGTGTATCAAATACTTGTTCTCCCCACTGTATATATATTTACATTTTGAATAAGAAATAAAGGTTGTAAAGAGTTTTTATAAAGTCGTATCTCTCTGAAACTTTGAAAAGTTAATGTTATGTTTTGACATTGATTGTTATAATTTGTATATGTACATAAATCATTTTTTTCCTCTATAATTTACAACAGGCTCAAAATGTTGCTACTAATGGTTCAACAGCAACAACAAAACCCCCTGAGCATATAACCCCGGCATTGACCTCACTCTGTTACAGGACTGACTTCAAGACTTTATGGGTGTTTATAAAGTTTTCAATGGATCGACCTCATCTTAGCTACGGGATGTTTTTTTTATTGTCACACTTTATCTCAAAACTGAGCAACCAAACAGATAATGTTCCAAAATCTACCAAGGTTGAGTCATGTCCTCCTCCAATTCAACCTTTTATAGGTTTATCTTCCTGGATTACTGAGCATGCATCAGGACATCCCAGCATCTTCAAATATCTAACTATAAATTGTGATATTATAAAAGCTGACACATTTATGGTCTCCACCACTGTTTTGTGGAGTAATTAATCTGAATCTGCCATGAAAAACCCAACTCAACTCAAATAGACAACTTGAATTTATTTGTTTCTTAATATAAGCTGTCAGCAGTAAGCTAAAAATGTGTATTATCAGTTGTTCTCACATTGTTCTTCACTCAAATTGACTGGATTTGCAGGAGCTTTGAGAATACCTGGAACACGTACAAGCTGCTGGCTCACATAAATCCTCCTGAGGTCAAGGTGAGCATCCTCCTGCTTCTTCATCAGACTCTGACCACTGCTCTTATAATAATTCAAAAAAGAGTTGTATAGTAGTGTGAATGTTTATGAAGCATTCACACTATTGCAATCCATTTTTCTTCCATATATTTTTCGGCGTGATTCTCATCCCGCAGTTTTCAAGCCATTTCAACAAATCATAAATCAAAACATTCAGCTCTTTCAGGATAATTCTGCTATGGATTTTGGTATTGGTGCAACTTTAGCTTTTTGAAACATTTAGTCTTTTCTGCCATCTTTTTCCTCATACAAAATGAATTGAGATCATTTTATATCCTTCAAATCTTTAGATCAGTTTACAACCTTTTACTGCCCCTTTCACATTTTGTTCTGCTTCAGCTTCTTTTAGCTTCCTTGTGCAAATTTGAAAAGTTTTCAGCTAATTTCAGCTGTTTTTTTGTTGTTGTTGTTGTTGATTTGTGCTTTTTCCTGATTATTTCTGCTAACTACAACATTTGTGTGCTTCTTTTTTTTCCTTCATTCAACTTTTATTTATACAGGTTAATCCCACTGAGTCTCCGGGACTCATTTACAAGAGAGACCTGATTTTAACAGAGTGATTCTTCTAACTTCTTTCTGCTAATTTAAGCTTGTTCTGCTCCTTTCAGCTTATTTCTACGTTTTAACTTTTCCTGTTATTTCAGCTACTATTTATCTATTTATGCTAATTTAAGCTTTTTCAGCTAATTCCACAATTTTTGCACTTATTTCACTTATTACACTTTTTTTCAGTCTAATTCAGCAAAAATGTGCTCACTCCACTTCTTGTAGTTTCATTTTCTTTTTTAGCTACTTTTCATCTTTTTTTTTTTAAACTAATTTCAGCTTTTTTCAGACAGTTTCCACTTTTTGTGCTCATTTCTTCTTCTTTCAGCAAACATGTGTTCATGCTTCCTTCTGCTAATTTAAGCTTGTTCTAAAATTTCAGCTTTTTTAAATAATGTTTTTAGTTAATTTCAGCTGTTTTCATAGATTTAAATTTTTGTGGTAATTTCTGATACTTTCACCCTAATTAACTTATTTCTGCTAATTTCAGCTTGTTATTATGCTCCTTCCAATTGTTTTCTGCTAGTTTCAGCTTTTTCTGCTAGTTCAGCTACCTTTTTTTTGCTGTTTTGTGCTAAAACCACATTTTTGGGGCTCATTTCAGCTCTTTCCACTTACTTCTGGTAGTTTAGGCTTTTTTCTGCCTTTTCAGTTACTTTTAAGCTATTTTTTGTTGCTAATTTCACTTTTTTTTTTAGCTAATTTACTCATTTTTGTGCCCATTTCTGCTTATTTAAACCTAATTCAGTAAATATGTGTTCTTTCTTATGTTAATTTAATCTTGTTCCTTCATTTCAGCTACATTTCATCGTGTTTTTATTAATTTCAGCTGCTTTTAGCTAATTCCAGCTGTTTTTCAGCAAGTTATTCAACAATAAACTTTCCCACTGCATTTGCACAGGAAATGTAATTTTTCTAGTTTTTACTTACGTTCCACCCTTGTGTGGTTTCGTTTAATGGCAGAGCAACATCAACATGGCTGTTTTGAACGTCGGAGCTCCCTGCGCCGGGATGAACGCTGCGGTTCGTGCAACAGTCAGGATGGGGATCATCCAGGGTCACTCCATGTTTGCTGTCCATGATGGTTTTGATGGTCTGGCTCACGGGCAGGTACAATAACTCCAGGCTGCCATCCTCATCCCTGTTATTTTTTTAAGGTGCGGGGCTTGGATCTTCAAATATAAATGTTTTTAACTGAAACCCGTGAGCTGAGTTACACAAAGTTGGAAACGGTGTGTAAAGGTGAAAAAGAAAAATTATACTCTTCAAGTGGTGCAAATTGTCAAACGTTTAGTTTGTATGTTACAATTTATGTGTGAGCCCCAAAACCCAGTTTTATCTCTGTTCGGCTGTTTTCAGACCCACAGTCACTAAAGGCAGGCGATCATGTGTTCGTTTCTGTCTGTTAGCAAAATATCTCATGAACCTCTAAGGAAATTTTAATGAAACTTTCAATTAATAACCACTGAAGGTGCATCTACAATGGATTTACAGTTGGAGCCAACCCAATTCAAGATGGCCGAAACAACCTGCTGACATCAGAACATTGAGTCACTTCTACAGATGTTGTTCGATTTGATGTGACTTGTAGCTGAGTCAGACACAACACATATTCCCATGTGCTGCTCTAAGAGTGGGAGGTCTTTGCTCAAAACTTTAGTAATAGTCAACCCTGTGTGTCTGTTAGCAAAATATCTCATGAGCCGTAGGATGGATATTAATTAAATTTTCATAAAGTATTTATTGGATGTACATCTTCAACTGATTAACATTTAGTCAGTCATATTTAAGAAGGCTCTTTGCAGTTAATCAACATTTGCCAACACAAAATGGTTGTAACGTGAGCTAAAATTTGATGTGGTAGTAGCTGAGAGTCATTCACAACACAAACTCCGGGTGTGACATTTTGTGACGTTGTCCAGGATTACACGACATTTGATGATGATCTTAATTTAAAACTTCAGTAAAAGGCAACAGTCGATGTAAATTCCTTCGAGGAATGTTAGGCCAGTATTTAATTTACGTTAAACCTTTGTCAGTTCTGTTAAAATACTGTGATATTTAACTGACAAAGAACTTTTAAATAACCAAACATTTAGAAGATAGCAAATAAAACATCTTGAAATGAGTAAAACGAGTCACAATAGATATTTTAGGATGGATTATAAAGGCAAGAACACACACTGTGGGTAATTTGTAGACTTACAGCATAATTGAACAGATATACAGTAAATACGTGTAGTTAGTCTGTAAAAGGCTTTGAATTACCAACCAGAACTCTGAAGTTATACTAATAATAATAAATTAATCTTAACTTCTATTTGCTTATCTTGTGGATTTTTATTTTTTTGTATTTTTAAACCAAAAATGTTCAAAATATGTTATATATTGCTTTATATGACAAGTTTTACATGCAGACCATGTAATTATTGTTTGTTTACGCTTATATTAGTGTTTTTTAATTTTATTTTTTATTGAAACTTTCTTTTTTTTTATGGTTTGCTGCAGATTGAACCCATCACCTGGAACACGGTGAGTGGCTGGACTGGAAAAGGAGGCTCAATGTTGGGAACCAAGAGGTGAAAAATTGTTTGATTTTGAATTAAATCTTAAGTTGTCTTCAAGTTTACCAGCTAAATGTAAGTCCGTTTCCTTTAAGAACTCTTCCAGGAAAAATGTTAGAGGAAGTTAGCCAGAGCTTAGCCAAGTTTAACATCCATGCTTTGGTGATCATTGGTGGATTTGAGGTAAAATAAATCAAATAAAAAAAAAGCCTTGTGAATGCTGGATGATCTTTCTCTGACTTAACAAACCAACACGCCAAGCTTCCTCTCCTGTCCTGCTGCAGGGTTACGTTGGAGGTCTGGAGCTGGTTCAGGCCAGAGAGAAATACGAGGAGATGTGCATTCCCATGGTGGTCATCCCTGCCACCGTCTCCAACAACGTTCCTGGCTCCGACTTCAGCATCGGCACCGACACTGCTCTCAACACCATTACCTCTGTCAGTGGTCAAACGGAAATGACACCCCCAGACAACGAATGATAAACAGTTTGACATGTTCATTAAATGTGTTTCTCTGCAGACCTGCGACAGAATCAAGCAGTCTGCAGCTGGGACAAAGCGCCGCGTCTTCATCGTGGAGACAATGGGAGGATACTGCGGCTACTTGGCCACCATGGCAGGTCTGGCTGCTGGGGCTGATGCTGCCTACATCTTTGAGGAGAAGTTCACAATCAGAGATCTGGAGGTGAGATTACAGCTTTTCACTTGTAACATCTCGTCCACATCAGTACTTTTATCAGAGGAAAAATTGTGCTATTTTATTTTTCTAAAAATTAAAAAAAAATTATACATATATGTGTGTATATATATATATATATATATATATATATATATATA